CCTGCCTTTGGGGATGAAGGAGGTGGGGCAGGCAGTCTGGTTTAAGCGGGTTTGGGGAACTGGGTTAAGGGTATCAGGACAGCTAGCTCTGTACTGGAGCCAAGCAGCAAAGCAGAGTGGGGTCCTGTTTATAACAGGAGCGTGGAAGAGCCGAGAGCAGAGCTGGCATCAACTGGCCATAAGGAAGTTACTTGTTTAGGTTTCAAGTGTGTTTGTGGCACACGTCACATAGGACCCGTTGGCTGCCCGTGCCTCATCTGGTGGTTCCCCCACTGCAGAAGGGGCACTGGATTTGGATTCATTTTCGGGGGTAGAGGAAGAACGGCCTGTTTTAAAACTGCATGAATACTTTGAACTTGCTTTTGCAAACTAGTGCCGAAAGAATGGTGCTGGCAGGGAGGGCTTGCTGAGCTTGGAGAGACTTGCTATCCTTGTGAAAAGAGTGGTTTGCTCTGAAGCCAGAGTGGCTGGCTCTGCTGTCTCCACCTGCACCGTGCCTCTGATGGGGCCTCCAATTGGACAGCCACCTGCTAGACAGGGCTCTGTTTTTGCCAGGCTCGGGAACACAAGAATAAAGAACTCTGATAATACTGTGAGACTCACTGTCAGCATTTACTGCCCTTTTGTGCATTTCCTTCTGAGCTTGTTTATCCTGAGGCAAAGGAGTTCTTTTTTAAAGTTCATTTTATCTTCGTGTGTGTGTGTGTGTGTGTGTGTGCACACGCGCACTCGAGAAGTCACAGCACACGTGCAGAAGTCAGAGGACAACTTTTGGGAGTTGGGTGCTCTCCTTTCATTGTGGGTTTGGGGAATCAAAATTGGTTGTCAGGTTTGTGTGATATTTACCCATTGACTCAGTTTACCCATTGAGTCACCTTCTGGCTTAGACAGGAGTCTTTAAGGCCGTGGAAGCCCTGAGGGTGTGTGTTAGAAACGTGTGCTGAGGAAGGGTCTGGTGTACAGTTCCGCTGTCTTCTCTCTGTAGCTTCAGATAACGTCCTGGAGCAGCCTGGTGTCAGATGCTCACCAGAGTGCTTCGTTTATGCTTGAAGCCAGTGTAGTAAGGCTAGAGCCGACCATGTGACTTGAGTTTCCCCTGGCAGCCGTCTGCTGGAATGTACGCCAGTGGGCAAGGGCAGTAGATGCAAATGCAATCCTTCGTGTTGAGTTTCTTTGCTTGAGCAGCGTTTTCCTCATAACTTTGAGCTTGTTAAAGATAGGAACAATGTTTTCTTTATCTCTGTGTCCCATTTACCCAAGATGGTGCTTGGCACAGACTGATTATAGTAAATGAAACATTGAAAGCCAGATATGGTAGATGGCTTGTGTGTAAGTTTCATCATGCATGTGTTTACTAGTTGAGGTTAAGGTTGGTTAGTGCATTATTTGGTGTGTGTGTGTGTGTGTGTGTGTGTGTGTGTGTGTGTGTACACGCGCACTCGAGAAGTCACAGCACACGTGCAGAAGTCAGAGGACAACTTTTGGGAGTTGGGTGCTCTCCTTTCATTGTGGGTTTGGGGAATCAAAATTGGTTGTCAGGTTTGTGTGATATTTACCCATTGACTCAGTTTACCCATTGAGTCACCTTCTGGCTTAGACAGGAGTCTTTAAGGCCGTGGAAGCCCTGAGGGTGTGTGTTAGAAACGTGTGCTGAGGAAGGGTCTGGTGTACAGTTCCGCTGTCTTCTCTCTGTAGCTTCAGATAACGTCCTGGAGCAGCCTGGTGTCAGATGCTCACCAGAGTGCTTCGTTTATGCTTGAAGCCAGTGTAGTAAGGCTAGAGCCGACCATGTGACTTGAGTTTCCCCTGGCAGCCATCTGCTGGAATGTACGCCAGTGGGCAAGGGCAGTAGATGCAAATGCAATCCTTCGTGTTGAGTTTCTTTGCTTGAGCAGCGTTTTCCTCATAACTTTGAGCTTGTTAAAGATAGGAACAATGTTTTCTTTATCTCTGTGTCCCATTTACCCAAGATGGTGCTTGGCACAGACTGATTATAGTAAATGAAACATTGAAAGCCAGATATGGTAGATGGCTTGTGTGTAAGTTTCATCATGCATGTGTTTACTAGTTGAGGTTAATGTTGGTTAGTGCATTATTTGGTGTGTGTGTGTGTGTGTGTGTGTGTGTCTGTGTGTGTGTGTCTGTGTCTGTGTGTGTGTGTCTGTGTGTCTGTGTGTGTGTCTGCGTGTGTGTGTGTGTCTGTGTGTGTGTGTGTGTGTCTGTGTCTGTGTGTGTCTGTGTGTGTGTGTGTGTGTGTGTCTGTGTCTGTGTGTGTCTGTGTGTGTGTGTGTGTGTGTGTCTGTGTCTGTGTGTGTCTGTGTGTGTGTGTGTGTGTGTGTCTGTGTCTGTGTGTGTCTGTGTGTGTGTGTGTGTGTGTGTCTGTGTCTGTGTGTGTCTGTGTGTGTGTGTGTGTGTGTGTCTGTGTCTGTGTGTGTCTGTGTGTGTGTGTGTGTGTGTGTCTGTGTCTGTGTGTGTCTGTGTGTGTGTGTGTGTGTGTGTCTGTGTCTGTGTGTGTCTGTGTGTGTGTGTGTGTGTGTGTCTGTGTCTGTGTGTGTCTGTGTGTGTGTGTGTGTGTGTGTCTGTGTCTGTGTGTGTCTGTGTGTGTGTGTGTGTGTGTGTCTGTGTCTGTGTGTGTCTGTGTGTGTGTGTGTGTGTGTGTGTGTACACCAGTTAGTGTAGCTGTGCACATGTGTGCATGTGAAGGCCAGAGGCTGACATTAAGTATCTTTCTCAGTTGCATTCCACTTCATGTTTTTGATGTGTAATTTATTTTATGTTCACTGGTGTTTTGCCTCCTTGTATGTCTGTGTGAAGGTGTCAGAAGCCCTGGAACTGGAGTTAAAGACAGGTGTGAGCTTCCATGTGGATGCTGGGAATTGAACTCAGGTCCTCTGGAAGAGCAGCCAGTGCTCTTAACCTCTGAGCCATCTCTCCAGCCCCTCTTCTTCATTTTTTGAGATGGCCTCTTGCTGAACCTGGAGTTCACCAAATCAGCTAGTCTGGCTAGCCAGGAAGCCCCAGGGATCTTCCTGTCTCCATCAGGTCCTTGAGTTGTAATGCTCTCCTCCCTCTTGTACCTCCTACCCGCTACCATGTTGCTGGAGTTACAGATGTGCACCACCATGCCCAGATTTTTATGTGAGTCTAGGGACCCAAACTTAGTTTCTAATGCTTACACAGCGAGCACACTAGCAGATGAGCTTTCTCCAGCCTCTGCCTCCTCTTTGAACAGATTCTCACCCTGTATCTTGGGATGGCTTGAATTTCACTCACTGTGAAGCTCAGGCTGGTGTTGAGCTCACAGCAGTCCTCCTGCCTCAGCCTCCAGAATTTTAGGCTTACATATGTAGCCACCATGCCAGGTTGGTATTTTTTATCTTTATCTTCACCCTATCCTCATCCACCAGTGGTACGAATAGGATTTGGCAAAGTGCTATGTAGTTCCTCAGCAGTGCCCTTTATGTAGCTGCCCTGATGAGGGACAGTATGAATCCTGGATCAAGTCAAGACTTTGAAGAAATTACTCAATAAGTAGAAGTGTTCTAGTAAATTGGAATTGGACTAGGTCTCCCGAGTAGGCCTCTTGCCACCTTTTCTCAAGAGTAAAGACTCAGAGGAGAAGTTTTTGTGGTTTGGTTTTGTTTATCTATTTATTCGGGGTTTTGTTTTTGTGTGTGTTTGTAGCAGGGTCATGTGTAGCCCAGAGTGATCTTAACTTCTGATCGTCCTACCCGCAGCCCCTAAGTTCTGGGATGACAGGTGTATACCATCATGTTGTTTTAACTTCGGCACAGTGGCTTTGCCTTAATATACTGCTATTTCTCAGCCAGTAATTGTGACTCAGCAGTTACCAGCCTGCTTCTCTGAAAGTGGCCTATCTGTTGCCACTTGGTGGCTTTAACTAAATCTCTATTGTTCCATTTATAAATAAGACTCAAGATTCAAGATTGGTGTACGCCTTTAATCCCAGCACTCGGGAGGCAGAGGCAGGGGTATCTATGTGAGTTCAAGGCCAGAGTGAGTTCCAGGACAGGCTCCAAAATAATACAGAGAAACCCTGTCTCAAAAAACCAAAAAAAAAAAAAAAAAAAAAAAAAAAAAAAAAAGACTCAAGATTCAAAGGCTGGGGTGACAACCTGCTAGCTCAGACAGGTTGAATAGCAACTAGCTGACCTTCTCTCCTTGCTGATGTCTCTCTCCCCAAGACAGCATCCTTCCACTCTGCTAAACAAACAAACAAAAAAAGTAGCGCCACTCCAAACCCCTCCCTACTACTTCCAGATGCCCTCTGCTGCTCTGTGATTACTTCCTGTCAACTAGTAGCTAATTTAGCCTCCCGACCCAAGATTAATTTTACTTAATTAATGCAAATACAAACTCAGGGTTCACAGTGTGGTCTTGTATGCCCCAACACTATCATTCTGGTTTACGCACTGAGGGGTTAAACACATAGTTTCATGTGTTCTAGGCAAGTGTTCTGCCAGCTGAGCTACATTCCCAACTGTGTTTTAATTTCAAACCATCTTTCTGATCTTACTGTTAACAGTCTGGGAGGGAGTTTGGAAGGCAGATTGGAATGACTGACTGGATGGTAATTATAGAGTCCTGTTTGCATTCAGTATTCTGGAAAGTTTTGCAGAAAGTGATTTCATTTAACTGTTGATCACAGAAGGATCGTCGCCTTCCTAGCAACTGATACCAAACATGAACTGTTTCTCCTTAGACATAGACAGGGCACCCCCTCTCCGACCCTATCTTAGGGGATCCTCACTTTTTAACCATATGGCTTTGTGGTTATGACCCTTCCCCAATCAATAAACCTTTGTTTTTCTAAACTCTGCTATAGTCTGGTGGTTCTTTTTATCTTGTTTCCTTAATGGGGTAATCACCAGTGCCATCTGGGGGACAGACAGACTGACCAGCTGGAGGAGATGGGTGAGAAGGCGGGCAGTGGGTCTGTGCTGTGCTGTAATGTGCTCCTTTGCTTCTTGCTTTTGCAGGGTAAGGAAACCTGTGTGGGTGCCAACAATGAAAGCTACATCTGTGACACAGGACACTGCTGTGGACAGTCTCAGTGCTGCAACTACTACTATGAACTCTGGTGTAAGTCCATGTCCAGGGGGTTCTTGGCATCCCAGGGTCCCGGTTACTGCCTCTGCTCCTTGGGAAACCGCGGGCTGGCCAGCCTTTTCTGATTCTCTTGGGGACAGTGTTGGTGAGTAGAATCTGGTTCTGGGTTGCGGAAGTGATTCCTTTCTAGAGGAGGAGGGCTTGGGCACCCTCTGGGCACCGTGGGCTGAAGACGGGCATACAGTCTGCCTCTTTGGAGGTCAAGGTTGTTAGACAGCGCTTCTGCCGAACACACTTTGTACCCTGATCTTTTTAGAGCTCAGATGAGACAGTGTTGACTGCCAGACAGAGTGGGAGGATGGGAGTCCTTAGGGCTGAGTGGTCTCAGGTGACAGACATTGCAGTGGCTCCCACAGCTGTTTCTCAAAAGAAGCAACTGTGGACTGTTTGCACAGATGATTCTGATCCCTCTTCCCTGTTCCAATAAAATCAGACGTTGGGCTGGCTTGTCAAGCCATTTCCTTACTGTCACTGTTACCTAGGGGCCTTTCCCCTTTTTCTACCCTCACCCACTCCCAGTCAGTGATATGGTAGAAAAACAGCTAGGACTAGTATTTGATCTGGCAAGGAAATTAGACGCCTGGCTGAGAAGTCTCACTCCCTGTGAAATGCAGTGGTCTTTGCAAGCCAGCATGGGTGAGTCCTTCAAATAGAACCTCTTCCTCACCCTTCCCTTTCCAGGACTGAGGCCACCCGATCTCCAGGAGTTCAGTGTAGGGAAGGACAGGGCTTTGAGATCCCCACCAAGCCTCCATGTATATAAGCAAAAGGAAGGCACAGAATTGCTATTTTAGATGGGGTGGGGCTGAGAAACTGACTGAAGAACACCAAGTGCCAAGCAGGTGGACTCGCTGTGTTTAAATATTTTAAAATGCAGATAACCACAGGGTTCAAATTCTCCCTCCCACCCCTTGTCAAAACAAAAGGCGAAGTTGGGCTGCCAAAAAGCACAGAGCTCCAGTTTGTTTTACTGGGGCCCAGGCCCAGTCAGCACCACTTTACGGAAAAAAGTGGCGTTGCTGATGGCCCCATCTCAGATTGACAGAGCCTCCTGGGCTGCAGGGGAGAGCAGACTCAGTAGCCACCGAAATTGGGTCACCAAAGCCAGGGTCAAGTGGTGGGCCAGTGGCAAGAACTGGGAGAAGCAAATGGCAGGAAGATTTGGTGGGAAGAGGGGCTTCCGTGTCATTACCTTCCAGTTACCTTGGGGGCAGGATGGCTCGGGGCGGGCCGGGGCAGGGAAGGCCCTTGCACAGGTCTCAAGGCTTCCTGACTTCTGGGGAAGGTGGAGACAACAGACTGAGACAATTCGAAGTCTGTGCCCAGAGGTGACCTCAGGCAGGAGATGCCCAGTGCATATTTTTCTGTCCCTCTCAGGAAATGCTTAGGTTTTCCTCCTTGTTTGGGGCCCTTTAAAGACGTGTATAGGGAAGGGCCTGAGGGTTGAAACGAGCTATGAGGTTCTCAGCAAAACTACACTTGCTGTTTTGTTGTTTCTTTTGGGTTTTGTTTGCTCTTTTAAGATATGTTTGTTTTTTGTTTTTTTTGTTGTTGTTTTTGTTCATATATATATATTTATTTGGTCTGGAAATTGTGATGTAGCCCTAGCTGCTCTTGAGTTCTAAATTCTGTTACCTCTGCCTCCCAAGTGCTAAAAAAAATACACTTCTTGTGGTTTTAACCCGTATTCCCTGTCATTGCCTTTCAATTTTGCCAGAAATGCAAAAGTGACCGGCTTCCCACCTCTTGTCCCCCTTTCTGTGCGAGAGAAAAATGAGCCAGTAATCACTGGCAAGGTCAGATGAGGCACCTCTTCATCTCACAAGAAAGGCCCTGGGGGAGATGCCTTTCCCAGCAGCCCATTTGCCTCCACTAAACTAAACTTGCCTGTGTTCTAAAGACTGCCGAGCAATGCACAGGCCCACAGGCACATGCTGACCTTGAGTTTTGTCCAGCACACTTTCAGGTTGCTGTAATCTGAACCAGTCCCTGGGCCTGTGTGAGGTGGAAATAGATGCTCCTGCAGCCCAGTGTCTTGAGACCACAGAAAACCTGCATTTGTGCTTGCATTCACTATGCTGCAAGTCAACCTGTATTCCGTGTGAGGTGGAAATAGATGCTCCTGCAGCCCGGTGTCTTGAGACCACAGAAACCTGCATTTGTGCTTGCATTCACTATGCTGCAAGTCAACCTGTATTCCAGGGGTCTTAGACCCTGGTTCGTAGCAGAGGCATATTTAAACACAGATTTCCAGGCCCTACCCACTTCAGGTCTGAGAGTTTGCAATTCTAGCAAGCTCTTAATCCAAGCCTTGGCCTCTCCTGGTTCAGAGATGGGTGAGGGTGTAGTTGTTGTCCTGGGAGGCAGCACAGAGGGTGTCGTGAAGGGGCCGAGTCTGCCAGTTCACCTCCAGAAGGAATTTGCTTTGGCCAGCTGAAATCTGGGTGGTGTGTGTGAAAAGGTGGTCGAGAGGACTGCTACACATTCCGGAGACAGCTCTTAGCCAAGGCTCTGTAAGAGAGAGCCACTGTCCCGAGCCCGTGGGGCTCATCTAGAAGACGTGGAATATAGGAAACTTTTGTGGATAGCTAAGCAGGGTCTGCATCTGTGTGGCACTCACGTTGTCCCCATGTCTTGGGGCTGGAGGCGTTCAGAAATCACTCTGTTGTTTGTAGCTGAGAAGTGGCCTGAAGCAAGGGTTCTGGGCTCTTGTCTGTGGTTCCTTTCTACTCTCCAGAGCACGTTTCCCAGGGAGAAGTCAAAGCCACACTTTCTGTCCCTGAGATGGTTTGGAGAAATTTTACTCAAGCATCAGGTTTCCCTGGTTTCCTGAGATGACAGGAAAGAGACTGTTAGCAGTCCACTTAATGCTAACAGCCAATACTCCCTCCCTGCGTTATTATAATTAGTGTATGGGAAACTGCCCATATTTGTGGAGCACTATGCGATTGATATTTCAACACACGCATACTTATTTCTCTTTTTAGCTTATCTTAGAAATATAATTGAGCTGATATTAAGGCCAACTTAAGGCATTTAGCTCTTGAGCACACTGGCTACCAGAGAGCATCCTTCCAAGCCCTTGTTGAAGCACAGCTCCATTAGTGGTCCAGGCCCCTGGACATGGGCAGGATGGTCAGAGCAAGACAGCTCATATCAGCGGACACAACACCTTGTTCACAGCAGGGGCTCAATAAATAGGAGTGGCCTGATTTTTCCACAGAATTCTGCCAAGAACAGAACCTCGAAGCAGACTTTGGACTTGATCCTAACCCATGTTTTTTATGGAATAGTTTTCAGGGAGGGGTCAAAGAGGGTTTCAAGGAAATCCTTGCCATCTGTGGTTATGCCTGTAACAACAACAGCTATAATAATAAGCTGGGGATTGCCCAGGACACAGGCACAGCTTGGAGTATTCCACATATTTTATCTCAGGTCTTAAAACAATCAGATTTGGTAGAGACCAGAGACCATTGTTCTCCCCACTTTACAGCCAAGGGGAATAGAAACAAAATCCCCAGGGTCCCAGGTTGTTGAGAACTGGGATCCCAACCTACATAGCTGTGGTCACCCTTACAGGACAGATGACTTATAGTTCAGATAACATTGCAAGCCCCTGGAATCTTCATCTCCCAAATTCAGGAATTTTGAGTAGGACAGGGTTCCTGATGAGAACTGTCTGGGCCAACGGAGGCTCCCCTGTCTTGTGAGAGGGAGGGGGGCTAACTGTGCTCTGGCTCCCTGGTGGGGAATTTCCTGTCAGTCGAGAAGTGGTGTTTTCCCAAGTCTGTCCTGAACTCTGGGGCACATGACTCAATTCCTACATGGGACTATGATTGTTTTTAAAAACATGTTTTCCATTTAGCTTAGCATGACAAATGCTCCACGCAGCAAGCTCATAACTTGGGGAGACAGGGAGGCGTCCTCTGGCTTGGTGTGTGTTTGGGGAGCAGAGGGTAGAGTGTCGTTTTGTTTTGTGCTCTTATATGCCTTTGATTAGACTCAGCTTCTCAAAAATTTCTCCTGCTAGGCATGCTAGCGCACACTTGTAATACAGCACTTGGGAAGCTGAGGCCCCAAGTTTGAAGCCAGCTGCAGTTAAATATAACAACATCGTGTCTTAAAAACAAAAGCAATAAAACCTACCTTCTTCTGAAATCTAGCTAAAATTTAAAATTTAGTTCAGCCCCATTGGGACTAATCTGATAGCCCACCACTGCCTAAAGTAACTTTACAGCCTTTAATAGCATGCTTCCAGGACAGTCCAGTGTGTGTGGCCGTATCAGAATGTCTCTGTTTGCCTTCCTGGCAGATGGCACCAGCTCGATGTCTATTTCTCTGTCCCTAGATTGATACCCAGTGTGCTGCAGGACCTCTTCAACTTGTTGTGTTTACCCTTGTTTTGAGTCACAAAGATAATTCCCCTGTGGTCTAAGAGACAATCAATGGTTTACTCAGTTTGATACAAATGTGACGTCACACAGCTGGTGTATGGCAGAGTTTTCCGTCTCATTAAGTGGGAAACGTGGGCTAAGGCTGTGGGTGTGACTTACTGGTAGGGCATGTGTTCCCAGGATGCAGGAGGGCCTGGATTCTTCTGTTCCCAGGACCATGACAAGGGAAAAGGGAAAGAGGAGAGAAAGTAGGCAGATGGAGTTTCACTGACAGTCACTGTTTCATTTGCTTCTTCCCCTACCTACCTTCTGGTTTTCCTAATTTTTCCTTTTGTCTTTTTTGAAAAAAAAGTTTTTCCTATGCTACTTTAGTTAAGGGGGCCTCTGCCTTGTTTTATATCAAGAATCCCTTTAAGACTCCTCCTCGGGGCTGGAGAGATGGCTCAGAGGTTAAGAGCACTGACTGCTCTTC